GGGAGAGATTTTTAAAACTAAATAAATGGAAAGATATACTGTATTCGTGGGTTAGAAGATTTAATACATTTAAGATGTCAGTTCCCCCCCAAACTGATCTATAGATTCAAAGAATCCCAATCAAATCCCAGCAGGACTTTATTTTTTGAAAGAAATTGACAAGTTCATTCTAAAAGGTACAGGGAAATGCAAAAAAAAAAAAAAAAAAAAAAACTTAGCAACACCCAATTTTATGACTCATTCATTATATAGCTGTATTTAAAAAATCAATGTGGTGTTATCATTGAGAAAGAGAATTATACCAATACAACAAAATACAGTTCAATAATAGAGCCACAAATATACATGGAACTGATTTTATAAAGATGCAAAGGCAGGTCACTCAAGAAAGGATAGTCTTTTCAATAAATGATATTGGAATAACCAGATATCTACATTAAAATAGGAACTTTGATCCATATCTAACACCATATATAATTACTTCAGGCCGGGCGCGGTGGCTCACGCCTGTAATCCTAGCTCTTGGGAGGCCGAGGCGGGCGGATTGCTCAAGGTCAGGAGTTCAAACCAGCCTGAGCAAGAGCGAGACCCCGTCTCTACTATAAATAGAAAGAAATTGATTGGCAAACTGATATATATATAAAAAAAATTAGCCGGGCATAGTGGCGCCATGCCTGTAGTCCAGCTACTCGGAGGCTGAGGCAGAAGGATCACTCGAGCCCAGGAGTTTGAGGTTGCTGTGAGCTAGGGTGACGCCACGGCACTCACTCTAGCCTGGACAACAAAGTGAGACTCTGTCTCAAAAAAAAAAAAAAAAAAAAAATTACTTCAAAATGGATCAGACACCCAAATATAAAAACAAAAACTATAAAACTTCTGAAAAATAGGAGGAATCTTTATGAACTTGGATTGGGCTAAAAGTTGTTGGGCATGACATGAAAAGCATAATCCATAAAAAAATTAATAAATTAGACTTCATCAAAATTAAAATTTCATTAAAAATGTCTCTGCAAAAGGCACTGGTAGGAGAATTAAAGGACAAGGCATAGAAAGAAAACATTTGCAAATCACAAACCTGGCGAAGAATTTGCATCTAGAATGTGTGCTGTATGATTCCCTCTATGTGGAACTCTAGAAAGTGAAAACGGAGCAATAGTGACAGAAAGCAGATCCCTGGCGAGGGGGGTGGGGAGGGTGGGAGGAAGTGGGGGTGTTGGGGAGGGAGAGAGGGATTTCAAAATTTAGCCTAAGGATTAAGAGACGGTTTCACTCCTTCTCCAGATTCCATGGTGGATATTAGCAGGTGATCACGATGCTTTTCTGCACACACAGGCATGCACAACATCTACTGGTGTTTCAAGCACTTGGGTTTATCGGTCCTTTTGGCACTCACCTCTTCATCTTCTCTTCCAAAGGTCAAACTTCTCTCCCAAAAGGTCCAGTCCAGCTCAGAGATGAGATGGTTTGGGAATGCCTGTGAAATACACTGCTTCCCTCACCTTGCCCACCTCCCTTTGCTTGTAGCTGCTTTCTGTATAGTTCCATCTTCCCGGAACACGGGGATTGCTGGGTAGGCACAGTGGCAGCAGTTGACTGTAAGGATAAGAAAATAGACATGTGGGCAAAACAAATTGTAGGGGCTGTTTTGGGAGGTACAATATAATTGTTCTGGGAAACTCCATGATGTCATGGATCTATGTCTATGGGGTTCTTCGTTGTATTCTAAATACATGTGCTAGAATGGTATCTGGCACATAGTAGTAGATGCTCAATAAATATTCACTAAAGGAACCAATGCTAAACATTTTAAATAATTTTTCTTTCACTTTTTCTCATCGCATGGCCATTGCCTAAGTCTCTTTTTTCCACGGATGACAAAGATCAATCTGATATCACTTGGTCACAGCCCATTGCTGCATGGCAAATAATTTCAAGTCAGGGCTTGGCAAAAGTGGGACCACTAGAGGCCTTTGACCCGAAGCACTAAGTCAGAGCAGCACAGGGTCCAGGGGAGACTTCAACAGACAGTGCCAAACCTCTGAATGCTTCGCGGGGTCATGGCCAGGAATGCTGCATGCTGGCCTTTGGGGAGTAAGTTCTAGAGAGCTTTGAATTTTGTGAACGAGTGTTAGTGGTGTGTTTTGTGATTATAAGTGTATCAAGAAAGTTAAACTGCATTAGTGTATGAAAACTCAGTTTAGCCAAACAATGCTAATTTCTTATTTACATGAACTTCATACCATTAAGACCAAATAACCATAGCACGAGGAAACTGAACATACATCACAGCTATGTCAGATGGATTCCAAGGCTTTATTTGATTAGAAGACACTGTGAAGCTTTTGGTCTCCAAAATGGCATTTGCCCATGAGAGGCTTTGTCTAGTACATTTCAATCCTTGCCAGTATTAAAATCACTCAGGGATTTTAATACCAAGTGTAAAATGACATAGTATTTGGGATTTAATCAAAATCACATGGCACAAAAAAAGGGTTGGGGGGAATATTACAGATAATACAAGATTGGTGAGATGCTGGTAATCATTGGCGCCAAGTGACAAATGTTCACTGAAGTACATGGAGATCCATTCTACAATCACTGTAATTTATGTATGTTTGAAAATTACCTCAATAAAAAGATGCCAGGGGAAGTTTCTTAGGCACATCTGTGAGAACACAGACTACACTCGGGGAGACCTGTGAACGGGAGAGTCTCCGTTACTAGAGATATATCTCTATTTAGGACCTCCAGACCCACCAAAACAAAATCTTACCTGAACAATTCATAGTGGATTTAGCTATCTATCTATCTACCCATCTATCTCTGTCAATCACTCCCTGGACCAATCGAATCAGAATCTCTAAGGAAGGGACCCAGACGCACTTCAATGTGTCCAGGTGACTCCAATGTGCACCCAGGGTTGAGAACCACCAGTAAGGGAAAGCTTCTACGGGTGAACCTCAGGTCAATTTTTCTTTTAGAGTAAAACAACATGTCCTGCTTTGACATGTGTGTGAGGGCACACATCACACATGGGGAGGACTGGGTGGCAATAATAATCGCCACCATTTACAAAGTGCCTCGTATGTGCTGCTGCAAGAGTTCCTTGATGCATGTCACTCATGGACTTGTCACAGCTATCCTATAAAGCAATTGAGAGCGAGTGAAGCGAGGTAACTCTCACAAGGTCCCATGACTCCTACATGGCTGAAGTGGGCTTAAAACCTGCTCACCCAAAAGTCTTTCTGCTCCAGCTTCTCTGAGTATCAAAACAGAGGAATCAAGACATCCATGGCTCTCCAAAACCCTCCCCTCCTTCAGCCCATCCTTGATTTTTCATTTCCCAAGTCTCTCCCCACTCAGACTTGTGGGGGGAGGGGGGGGAAATGGGCATTTATTGAAACCTTAAAATCTGTACCTCCATAATATGCCGAAATAAAAAAAAAAAGTAAATGGATGGGGGGAAAAGTAAATGGATGGAAAAAGGTATACTACACAAATGTAACCAAAAGAAAATTGGAGTGGCTACATTAATAATAGACAAAGCTGACTTAAGAGCAAAGAAAATTACCAAGAAGAGAGAGGGACATTATATAATGATAAAAGGGTCAATTTGCCAAGAAAACAGATGAATCATAAATGTATATGCACCTAATAGCAGAGCTTCAAAAAACATGAAGCAAAAACTGATAGGACTGAAAGAGAAATAGAAATAGACAAATTCTCACCTACATTTCAGTGGAAGCAACACCTTTTCCCCTGCTTTTCAATGTTTCCCCCAGTTCTGTTAACAAGTGTTCAAAATCAGTTACAAAATGGTGTCATTCTGTTGTCAACATCCATTTCAGGTGTATCTATAAAAATCTGCCCTGGAAACATTCTTCCTTTTTAAAAAAAACATGTTCACCACACTCCACATGTAAGATTTGGTTAAGTCTCAGAGCATTGTGACAACACAAGAACATTGCCAAGTAACAAAATTAATTTCAAAATAACTCAAGCTCTTGGTGGCATGTTTAATGTCTGTAGGTGTAAGATGTGAGACAACTACAAAAGTGTGGTGGGGACAAAGCCACTTACATGGTGGGAAGGTTTCTATAGCATATTCAACTAGAAGTAATGAAATATTGACTCTAAGTCAACTGAGAAAAGGTAAGTATAATATTTATATTGTAATCCCTACAGCAACCACTAAGAAACTATTTAAAAAGATACAGTCAAAAACACAAAACATTCCATGTAGCACACCAAGTTAAAAAATAAAAATAAATACCAAATAAAAATTAAACTGGAATACTAAAAAATGTTCAAATAACCAAAAAGAAGTCTGAAAAGAGTAAACAAGGGAACAAAAAACAAAGAGAAAGCATATAATAAAATGGTAGACCTGAATCCAAAACACAAATGAAAAGACAGAGATTATCCAAATGGATTTTTAAAAATTACCCAATTATTTGCTGCCCACAAGAAACTCACTTCAAATTTAATGACATTGATATGTTAAAAGTAAATGGATGGGGGGAAAAGTAAATGGGTGGAAAAAGATATACTACACAAATGTAACCAAAAGAATATTGAAGTGGCTACATTAACAATAGACAAAGCTGACTTAAGAGCAAAGAGAGAGGGACATTACATAATGATAAAAGGGTCCGTTTGCTAAGAAAACAGATGAATCATAAGTGTATATGGACCATAAGTGTACATGGAGCCGTATATAGCAGAGCTTCAACAAACATGAAGCAAAAACCGACAAAACTGAAAGAGAAAGAGAAATAGACAAATTCACAATTTGTTAGTATACTTCAACTCCTCTCTCAGTAATTGTTAGAACTAGTAAAAAGAAAACCAACAAGGAGATAAAACTGAAAAACCCTTAACCAACTGAGTCTAATTGATATTTCTAAAACACTCCACCCAACAACAAGAGAATATATATTCTTTCCAAGCGCACACGGAACATTCACTAAGACGGATCATGTATATATGCTGGGTCATAAAATAAACATTTTTATGTAAGGTCATAAATAAGTGTAAATGAACTGAAAACATAGAATATATGTTCCCTGATCATAATGGAATTAAAATTGAAATCAATAATAGAAAAATAACAGAAAAACTTCCAAACTCTTGGAAATTAAATAACATACTTATAAATAATACATGGGCTAAACAGGAAGTCATAAGAGAAATTAGAAAACATTTTGAGTAAAACAAAAAGAGAAAAGACACTTAACAAAATGTGTGAAATGCAGTTAAAGCAGTCCTCAGAAGGAAATGTATAGCTTTAAATGTTAGAAAAGAAAGGTCTCAAATCAATCATCTAAGCTTACACTTAAAAAAAAAAAAAACAGCAAAAAAGTACAAAATAAACCCAAATTAAGCAGAAGGAAGGAAATCACAAAGATAGCAGAAATTAATGCAATCAAAACCAGGAAAACAATACAGAAAATCAAAGCAACTAAAATCTGTTCCTTTGAGAAGATAAACAAAATTGGCAAACCTTGTAGCAATATTGAAACAGAAAACAATAGCTAGTAACAAGAATGAAAGATGTGATACTACTAAAGTCCCTACAGACCTTTAAAAGGTAATAAGATATACCATGAACAACTCTGTGGACATAAATTTGACAGCTTAGAGAAAATGGACCAATTCATTGAATGCTAAAAATGACCACATTCATCCAAGATGATATAGATGATGTGAATAGTCCTGTGTTTTTTAAATTGAATTTTTGGTTAAAAAGTACTTGAAAAAGTAATCTCCAGACCTAGATGTTTTCATAGGCAAATTCTACCAAACATTTAAAGAATAATACCAATTCTACACCTCATCTGGAAAACACCAGAGGAGAAAACACTTCCCAACTTTTTATGAGACCAGCACTACCCTGATACCAAAGCCAGACAAGAGCAGTATAAAAATAACAATAAAACACAGATCAATAGCATTCATGAGCATTTGTACAAAAATCCACAAAAAAATTTAGCAAACTGAATCTAAGAATATATAAAAAGGACAATATACTATGACCAAGTGGAGTTTATCCCAGGAATACAAGATTGGGTTAGACAAAATGTTCTTAGACATAGCACTAAAAGAATGATGTATATTTTAAATTTGATAATTTAGCCTTTTTCAAAATTAGAAATATTTTCTCTGCAAAAGATACTGTTAAGAGATTAAAAGACAAGCTATAGACTGGGAGAAAAAGATTTCAAATCGCATATCCAACAAAAGACTTGCATCCAGAATATAGAAAGAACTGTCAAAATTCATTAATAAGAAAACAACAACAAAACAATTTAAAAATGGGCAAAAGAGTTGTATAGAGACTTCCACAAAGTTTACCATATGGAAGGTGAATACGTTCAACATCATTAGCCATTAGAGAAATGCAAATTAAAACCACTCTGAAGACATCACTACACGCTGATTAGCACAACTAAAACAGAAAAAACTGGCAATATCAAGTATCCCATTCGCTGTTGGTGGAAATGGAAAATAGTACAGCCACTCTGAAGAACAGGGTGACAGCTTCTTACAAAGTTAAACAGACATATTCCTCACGAGATGACCCAGAAATCCCACTCCTGCATAATTAGCCTAGAAAAATGAAGTTATATGCACACAAAAGCACAAATGTTTACAGAAGCTCCACTCACAATTGCAAAATACTGGGAAACAACACGAATGTCCGAATCAGTAAACTCGCTGTGGTACGTCCATGCAATGAAGCACCGCTCAGTGAGAAAAAGGAACGGGTTACTAACACATGCGGGAAGGAAGCCAGTCCCAAAGGGTACAAGCTGTGTGATTACAGAACATACTTGAAAATACAAATCTTTGATGATGGGAAACTGCTCAGGGCTTGCCGGGGTTAGGGTTAGGGTGAGGACGTGATTACAGAGATAGCAGGAGGAAAGTTTTGGGGGCGATGGAACTGCTCTGAGCAGTGATTGTGGTGTGGTTTAAACAAATGTACAAATGAATTACAGGTCATAGAGTTATATATGCGTCCAAATAATGTCACTCTGTCGTATGTTAATTTTTTAAATAAACGAAAAAGTCAAGTTCTTTACATTTCGTGTTTGCCAAACTCTGCAAAAGAGTCTCTATACCTGAGCCACAATCAAAATTTCTTTGAAATTTGCTTTCTCTGCCACCTGTTCGTTCACACATGCTACCTGTTTTCTCTCCTCCTCCACTCCCAAGTCCCCCTAACTGGTGCCAAAGGGTATCAGGGAATGTGAACCTCCCACGTTCTTCATCCCATCCCTCGTTCTTTATTATTGACAACAGACACGCCCAATGTCAAGTACAGTTTCAAGTTCCCCACTTCCAACCAGTTCAGCACCCTGCCCTTCCCATACGGAGATCGGAAGGAAGCTTCTGCCCCAAGGCCTCCCTTCTCCTGTGCTTCCCAGCCTGCAAATTGAAAAGAATCTTTCCAGTGGGGCAGGACTTGCAGGCGTGTGGGGAGGCAGATTGGGCTATGCCAGCATTCTCTTCGGGCAGCTTGGAGAAGGCAGGGTTTGGAAATCCACCTTGCTGTATGTAACACACATGCATATAAATGAGTCCTTCAAAACAGCCAAGCCGGGACGCTGTAGGCTTGAAACAATCGTACTGCGGCCACAGCCCAAAACATTTCT